GGAAGTTTTCTCCTTCTTCTTTGGAGTTTCTTGAACATAGCTATAATTGTTGGTGGCGATGGGTCCTTAAAGATCAATAGCAGAAGGAATTAGGAGTTGCTTTTTCATGCCAGAAGAGGAAGTCGTCATTCTTAGAATATGAGTATAAGAAAGAGTGATAAAAGTTGCAGGAAAAACAAAAACTCTTAGGGTTCAAAGAAAGAAAGTTGCAAAGAAAATAAAGAAATAAAAGAGGAAGGTATATATAGTCGTATGAAAAAAAATCTTCAGTTTCCCTCTAAATTCAAAATAAGTGGCATTTTAATTTTTGTTTTAAAGTGTTTAATTAATGTTTTTCGTTATATTTTAATATGTTTAATTCTTGTGGTCCACAATGGTCTTGGAAGTTTGAACCATGATGGAGATTGCACTCCCGATCGTTGACGCGATTGTTAAGTGAAAGTGGTCATGATGACAGTGAGACATATGCAGTCTGCTCTGAAAAGTGTCAAGAGTGTACTAAAATGCCACCTTTCTTCCATATTTCAAGCAAGATCTAAAGTGACAATTTTGGGGGGCATCTGTTAGTTGAAATTTTCGACTCAGTGTGTTCGACAAAAGTGGAGGTGAGATAAATATATAGGCTGAGTATAGATAGCTAAATAATGTTTTTGACACCAAAGTCATAAGGTTCGACATGGAGGATTCTCGACAGAGGAAGTTAGAAGATCTGAGTTGACAAAGGAAGTTGAAAGGCCTGGAGATGTTTTTTTTTTTTACAGAAGTCACTACTACAAAAAACACATGTCATCTCGGATGGAAAATGGATTTTACCTCAGCGATACAGGGATGTTAACGAATCACATCATAAAAAATTGCCATTTTATCCCCTTGGTTTCTTAATAACCGAGGAGATAATTGAAATTGTCATTGGTTTGATCCCTAGAAAAAACATTTTTTATATTTTTAGAACTAGCGCCTCATACCTTTCGGTTTATGACCGAAACTGAGGGGGAAAATATTTTTTTTAATACAAATTACATTGTTTACAAAAATTATTAAATTAGATTTTTTACAAATTACATTATTTACACGGAATATTACATGGTTTACACAGAATATTAAAATAAAATTATATAGCAAATTTTGAATTCAATTCATCATCATCATTATAGGTGAAGAACAAATATTGAATCATCATTTCATTGAATCTTGAGGAAGATCAAATATTGGATATTTTATGCATTTGTTTCTAATATGAAACAAAAAAGGGTTAGATAAGTAAAATAAATATTCAATTATATGAATATTTTAGAACACATACCTTAAACCTAAATATTTGATCCTTAAACTTAAATAATTTTGTGTTGTTGCATCCATCATAGAGAACAATGTTTTAATATTTTTGATATAAAACAAAAAAACATTTCAATGTTTTCATGACAAATATTTTCATGGTCAATTTTTTTATATTCATAATGCTTTTATAATGTGGCATGAGCCTATTGAATGGATGTTTTTTACGTTTCACACAGATCACTTATGATAGTGTCTTGAGTGTTGATACTCACTAAATGGACGAAAAAGATTTGTTTAAGGACTGCGAAAAAAACTCAATAAGCACGATTATTTTTCCTTCGGTTGTAACCTTGGTTTCTTAAAAAATTGAGCTAATAGATGACTTGTATTGCCAAAAAAATGGTGAATGGAAAAAATTGAAGTAACATGTATTGTTTTATTTTTCAATTTCTTTTATTATTTATCAATTTATTTATGTGTTGTAGTATGATTAAGAATAAATTTCTCAATGTTGTCAACCGAAGAAATCATTATGCATTTGTTTCTGCATTTGTTTCTAATATGAAACAAAAAAGGGTTAGATAAGTAAAATAAATATTCAATTATATGAATATTTTAGAACACATACCTTAAACCAAAATATTTGATCCTTAAACTTAAATATTTTTCTGTTGTTGCATCCATCATAGAGAACAATGTTTCAATATTTTTATATATAACAAAAACTGTTCTGGCCTGGGCCCGACCTCGGTCCAGCCCAATACCTCGCCCGACCCAATAAGCGAATTGGTCATGCCGGGCACGCGCGCCCCGCAGGACGGGCGAAACGCACCACCGGGCACTGGCGACGCATCCAACAGCCTCTCGACGTCCCCTCTTATCAGCCGAACAGGACGCACCCCAACGCATCGAAACGAGACCTTGGTTCCTCCCCTCCGCGGGGAGAACAACGCCCTCCGGGGAACCTCGCGAGCGCCCCTCCGCAGGGAGAACAACGTGCCCGGTGCACGTTCTCCGCGTGCTCCCCTCCGCGGGGACACGTCATCAACCAACTGCCCACCTCCGAAAGAGCAGGTCAAACCCACTTTCCGGAAATCAAGGAGCAGTTGGACTAGGGCGAAGACCACGTCCTGGTCTTCACTATGCCACGTAAGCCCTAGCAGTCATTGGGGTTGGGCCTGGTCATCCAGCCCACCTCAAATGACCGTTGGTCCAGCGCTGGGGTCTCTCTATAAATACTTTCTTCCTCAAGAGGGTCAGGTAACACATTTTCTTACCCTTTTTCTGTACTCTGCCCGCGCTCTGCCCAACTCCTTACTTTGGCATCAGAGTGTTTTGCAGGTACACCCCCTTCTCTTCCTCAGCACCGGTGAGCACGTAGCAGTCCAATAGAGTGTGGCCGGCCCGTGATCCCCTTCTGGTCAAGTCAGATCAAAAACATTTCAATGTTTTCATGACATACATTTTCATGAAGTTTTTTATATTCATAATGCTTTTATAATGTGGCATGAGCCTATTGAATGAATGTTTTTTATGTTTCACGCAGATCACTTATGATAGTGTCTTAAGTGTTGATACTCACTAAATGGACGACAAAGATTTGTTTAAGGACTGCGAAAAAATACAATAAACACGCTTATTTTTCCTTCGGTTTTAACCTTGGTTTCTAAAAAAATCGAGCTAATAGATGACTTGTATTGCCAAAAGAATGGTGAATGGAAAAAATTTAAGTAACATGTATTGTTTTATTTTTCAATTTCTTTTACCATTTACCAATTTCTTTATGTATTGCAGTATGATTAAGAATAAATTTCTCAATGTTGTCAACCAAAGAAATCAATATATGTTATATAAAGTTTCCGTTGATTAACAACATTGAAAATTTATTTCAGTAAACATTGATGTGAACAACAACAAGAATAAGGACAACAACACCATTATGTGAGATAGATTGCAAGAGAAGAAAATAATTTGTTAAAGGTTGGTGTAAGAAGAACAACAACATAGAACGAAAATGATTTATCTCGCGATCCATCAGACAAAACGATGTTTAAGAGCATGAAGAAGATGAACTTACGAGTTAGTTTTAGGGTAAAACTTAGTGAAAAAGATCATTTTATGGTAAACTATGTGTATGATACCCCTCGATTATTTTATAAATCGAGGGAATATAATATTTAATAATAAAAAATCATAAATAATAAGAAAGACATCCTTTTTAAAGAAAAAAAAACAAAAGTTGTAGTTGTTAGGACTCATAGCATGCATATACCGTGAATTAGTTTACCCTGCAGTTGTTTTCTTAAACCGAGGCAGTAGATGATAATTTTTTGGAAAAACTAACATAGCGGGTCATAGAATTTTACCTCGATTTTTAGTCGAGTGAGGTAAAAACTTTATCATAAAATGTAATATTTGTAGTGGTAAGTAACAGTTTTGCAGTACTTCAAATACTGAAGACACGTGTGAGTAAAATAGAGGACAAAGGGCCACGTAATAGTGTCGTGTCGAATGTTGGAGAATCGACTGTTGTCGTCAGTTATGGATGTACGTGTATATAAGTCGATTTAATATTTGTAACAAGGAGTCACATTTTTCATTGTTGTTCTCTATAGAATTCAAACTTCCAAGTTGCAGAAATAAAATGATTTGTTAGAAATGTATGAATCCGCATTCCACTTTTAATCCAAACACTTTTACTTCATTGTTCTTGTTACCTCCCTTAATTTATTACTTTATCTTGTCAATCAATTCAACACTTTACTTTTTGTGATTTTTATCCAATTTTTTTACATTCAAATGCTAAGTTATGAAGTAGGAATAAACTATCACAAACATATTTTTGTACAATACTTAAAATCTTTTTGAGTTTAATCTTGTAAATAAATTAAAAATTGTGACTAATTTACTAAAGACAACAATAAAAGTCATACTTATTATTTTAGGTTGTCACTAAAAAATTAATGGGGGATCTCCATGTCATTTTAATAGACATTAGGAAAGACTAGTAGGCATTTTAGAATAAATTAAAAATTGTGACTAATTTACTAAAGACAACAATAAAAGTTATACTTATTATTTTAGGTTGTCACTAAAAATTAATGGGGATCTCCATGTCATTTTAATAGACATTAGGAAAGACTAGTAGGCATTTTAAAATTAGAGGGACACGTCTGCATTAGGAAAGAGTGCCAGACTAGTAGGCATTAAGAAACCAAAAAAGCATTAAATGAGTTGTTAGAATCGCTTAATATGGATGTTTAATCGGCTTCCAGGCAAGAGGTGAAGTTGTCATATGATCTATCCTTGCCATTAGAATCTAAGCTCGGATCATGTCTTTAACATGGATGGCACGTGGATATCTTACAGATGAACATCTGGCACTCTTGAAGTCCATGGATGGCACATGTCGGTAACATAACCTAGATTCATATTGTGGGAGTCCGTGTTTGTGGTATACTATGTTGTCTTGGGGTGAGAGGAGTGTTGGGGGATCTGGCACATGTATATCTAATAATATAACAATCAATTTAACTTTTTATTTTTAATTGTAACCAAACAAGTTTGACCAAACTCAACGGTACCAAAAACTACTTTCACACAACCTCAAAATTCAACTACTTTTGTTATAAATGCTTACTATCTTTGGCCTTACTATTAATATTATAATGCTATTGGATCTTGTCTAGCACCTACATCGATCCCATTTCTCAATCTTAACAATGGCAATGGAACATGTCCTTCACATGAAGGGTGGTGTGGGAGAAACAAGCTATGCCAAAAACTCATCACTACAGGTATTAATCATCTTCTCTTCTACCTTAACCTAAATATTTTGAATAGATATGTGATATTCACCTCAAGTTAATTCATTTGGTGCAGAGAAAAGTGATAACGGAAGTGAAAACCATACTTGAAGAAAATATGACATTGATCATGTCCAACAAAAGTGTAAAAGGTTGTTGGAAAATAGCTGATTTAGGTTGTTCTTCAGGACAAAACACACTTTTGTCCATCTCTAATATCATGAACATCATCCATGAAATTAACACGAAACTAAATAATGGGAAACCTGTATTTCAAATATATCTCAATGATGTATTTGAAAATGATTTCAATACGATCTTCAAATTACTTCCAGGTTTCTACCAACAAGAAAAAGAAAAGAATAATGGAGAATGCTTCATAAGTGCAACACCAGGAAGTTTTTATGGAAGACTATTTCCAAATGATTACATTGACTTTTTTCATTCCTCATATTGTCTCCATTGGCTATCTCAGGTTAGCATATATTCTTCAGATTTCGTATTATATTTATTTTTTTAGATAAAACTATTTTTTTGGGTTAGGCACCGAAAAATTTGGTGAAGAATGGAGAAGCACTCAACAAGGGAAATATTTACTTATCAAAAACAAGCCCTCCAGCAGTTTATGAAGCATATTTTAAGCAGTTTGAGAAAGATTTTCAGTATTTTCTAAAGTTACGTTTCAAAGAACTAGCGATGAACGGTATGATGGCACTAACATTCATTGGCAGAGAATCACATGACAAAATTATTTCTGTTCAAGGGATAGTTGGGATGGTACTCAACCAGATGGTTCAAGAGGTAATCATTAAGAAACAGATATATTAAACTCTTTCAAATTTAAAATAAAAAACTTATTGTTGATTTTAATGTTTAACATTTCACAGCATCTAAAAACTTTTATGATTTGCAGGGTTTAGTTGAAAAGGAGAAATTGGATATGTTTGATTTTCCAGCATACCATCCTACCGAAGAGGAAGTGCGACAAGTGATTGAGGCAGAAGGATCTTTTACCCTTCAAACAATGAAGACTTTTAGGATGGGTTGGGATGCAAACCTTCAAGAAGATGTGATTGATTATGTTGTTGATAGCAAAATGAGAGGGGAGTTTATAGCCAAGTATCATAGAGCAGTTTATGAACCCATTTTAATAGTAAGTTTTGGTGAAAATGTCATGGATGAGTTGTTCTCTAGGCTTGCAAAGATGCTTGAGAAACTTATTGAAATAGAGACCTTAGAGTTTACTAATATTGTATTGTTTTTAACAAAGGATCATTGACGATAGATGTACTACACCCAATAATATATTGAGTATTTTAAATATTGTTAATAGAAGATGTGTATTTATTTTATTTTTTCGTTTCTCTAGCTTAGTAAGTGGATATTTATTTATAATTATATATAAAGGGAATAAAATTGGACTAATGTATTTTTGTTTAGTTTTTACACTTAAAAATATATATGTTTCAAGAAAAGTTCTATGCTAAAGTCATCAAAATGACTTTATAAATTCCTTTCAATTTTAGAATTAGGTTTTATGATTGATGTTGACTTATGTTATGTTATATATTGGCCGATTTTAGATGGACAACTTTGACGATTCAGTTGAGATTGCGAGTGCTAAGTATTGGTAACTATAAATTCAACCGGATTTATCAAACAAGGGACAAGGTAGTATACTACATGTAGCTTTTTTGTATATTGGACGGTATCAACCTACATTAAGATGCTCATTTGTCCCCTTAGTCTTAGGATGCATAAAAAGAATCTCTAAACAAGTTTTACTGGTCTTAGGCATGTCATACACACCAAAAATCATGTTTGTGTGTCAAAACAACAACACATGCCGACCTATATGTGATCAGACCGACCTATGGAAACCTCAGATTCAGTATAGGTTGACACAACCATGTTTAAGACCGGATCCCATCCTCTAAGAATAAAGTCTGTAGATTCTGCCCACAAGTCGCATTTCAGGTCACCTAATAGGCCGTCTTGAACACCTTCATAGGCCGACCTAATATGCAAGTTAAAACTTAAAAATTTATTTTTGCATCTTATTTTTCTTGCATCCTTTTGCTCATTTTCTTCACATGCCTATATATACTCACACATGCATCTTCTTCAAGGCAAGGTTTCCAAGTGAATAAAACCTAAACGAAACCAGATTACAAAGTTACTCATCATCTTCATCCCTTCTTCTATACATACACACAAATGAAATACACATAATCATCTTTTGATTGGGTGACCATCTAAATTAGGGTTAATGACGTCCAATTAGGTTTGGTGTAACCGAGAATATTGGGTTAGGGGCTTTGTGTGTTTCAAATAAGAAAACCAAGGTGGGGTTTTCCTTCAAGATCGAGTTGATTTGAAAGTTTTGGACAAGATCACGTCAACATAGATTCGACCGAGTGAAAGCCTTGGGATAAGGTGGTTTTCTTGCGAGGGAGTAGCACGAGACGGTGAATTGTGTTCGGGAATCATGGGCTTCAACAAGTTGCGTGCTCGGGATAATCGAAGGATTATGGCCGCATTATTGGTCACTTGATAAAGCTTTGGTCAAAGGTTGGAGGTGGAAGAATCAACACAAAACAATAGGGTTTTTGAGGTTTGCATTCTTCATCTCTTGTATAAACGATTTTGCAAAGAAAAGGTTAATATCACTATCTCAATTTGAATTTGAATTGAGGAAAGACGTACCCATAGCGAGGCCAATTGGGGAACTATCTAAACAAATCTTGGTCTCTCTCTTTATCTCTTTATCTCTTTTATTATTGATATCACAATTTATCGAGTTCATCGTTGTTTGATCAATTCGATTGGAAATTATTTTCTACTATCTTTTAAAGGTGTTGTTGTTAATATAATCACAATCACTTTAATTGTGATAGGGTTTTAACATCAAAAGAATAAACTATATTTCCAATTGTTATCGATTGCAGATCAATAGTTTGATAAATTGTTTATGCATATTTTGATTGTGTTTTAGTTCATTGAATATACGAGTTACGAATTGAATTGCATTTAATTAATTCGTAGCTTGATTGTTGTTAAACATTTACGTTCGTTATCACTCCGTTTGGTTTACGATACGTATATTACTTTTCAATAGTAGGTTCGGTTAGACGATTCAATCCGAGTCATTTTTTCACTGCACCATATTTTGAAAACAGATCGGAAAGCACTTATGCATATTCATGCCAACTCCGTTGACAATGGTATTTGGGCTGCTATCCAAAATGGTCCAAATGAAATAAATATGACCAATGAAGATGGTGTCACAATACCTAAACCATAAGCACGATGGAATGACAATGATAGGAAATTGTGGTCACATGATTGAAAAGCGAAAAACATTCTCACTTCCGCCTTGGGAGTTGATGAGTTTTATCGTATTTCTCATTTAGAGGCCGCTAAAGCTATGTGGGACGCATTATAGATTGCCTATAAGGGTACTCAATTGTCAAACAACCTAGGATCAACACATTGAATAAAGATTTTGAGTTGTTTCGTATTGAACATGGTAAAACTATAACGAATATGTGGAAACGATTCACTCATCTTATAAATTGATTAAATGCACTAAGTAATCCCGTTTTCAATAAACTTTCTAACAAAAAAGTTTTGTGGTGTTTAAGTAGGGAATCACAACCAAAGGTCACCGCTATTAAAGAAGGAAATGATCTTAAGCCGCTTGATCTTACAACTTTGTTTGGTAAGTTGGAAAGGGGGAACATCTACCCTAATGTTAGAATGCATGGTTTGAGTCCTAATGTCTATCATAACCATCCTTAAACAAGGAAGATTAGATCCTAGGGGAACATGGAAAAGGAAGACAAAGGAAGAAGAAAGATCAAACACAAATGAGAGTGAAAATAGGGATGCAAACACGGAATGCAACACACAAGTAAAGGGAGGAACAAAGTGTGGGGTAAACACCACCACAAGCATATCTCGACCTTTATTAATGCAAAAAATAAAGATGCAAAACACAAGAGGAAATGCAAATGCACGAAAGCAAGCAAACATGAATATGCAAGCACAAAACATGAATATCGCTTTTGAACGACAAACTGCGAAAGTAGGCATCCAATTGGAAAACAAACACAAGTCGACAAAGTCTCGATTAAACAACCAAAACAAAGACATATATCCCAAAAAATTTCACTTATAATGCATCATATTGAACTACGATGATTCGATGCGAAACGGTACTCAAACAAGCAAGATAGTCAGCAAAACAGACCCACTGGAACAGTGTTAATCGGTTAACAGCAGAGGTTAACCGATTAACCACTTAAAAATGCTTGAAAATTTGAATTTTTGAGTTGGTTAATTGATTAACCTATATGGTTACACGATTAACACTGTTCCAGAGGCGAAAAACAGCAGAAAACATTAGTTCAGAAGCACTTTTCGGCACTTATCCAATGTGCAATCATTCCAATGATCATATAATCAATTATGCACGAAGTTAAACCATAAACCAGTGATCTAATGGACATGTAAACACATTTAAACAAAAAGATCACAAATCAAATGGATCAAATCAACCAAAATTCAATCAAAGATGAAAATCCACATGATCATGCAAAATAAGTTTGAAACAACAATAGATCTAGGATTCCAACCTACGAAGCGGAGATTTACTTCGGTAATTGTTGATTCAACTCCGATTGAATAGATCCAAGCGAGAAATCCAGAATTCCTTCAAGATCCAATTGAGTTCTTGCAATAGAAGTGATGATCCACCAAAATTAAGCAAGAATTATCCAAATAAGCTCTTCCAAAACCACTTCAAAATTCAGATCTAAACTTGCACGAAAATTGAATGAGGAAATTGATCCAATGAAGATGATGGATGAAGGTTTAAGCTCAAGAATTCATTGATTCCAATGGAGAATTAAAGAATTCAATGGATGAAGAGCTTTGGTGAAGGTTTGAGAATGGAGAAACTGAGAGAGAATTGAGAGAGAATGAGATCAATTCTGAAAATGAAATGGAAATTATGAGAGTTAGATCCCTTTGGTTTGGAGTGGATAACTTAAATATCACTTAGGCTCGGATCCAAATGAGATGTTTGGAATGTGGTTTGTGAATTTTGGTTTGGAATGAGGAATGGGAATTTGGAGGGAAAATGAAATTAACCAAATTTCAAATAGGTTTTAGATCCTTCCCAAAGTGAAAATCACATTTGCACATGACCAAAATTGGACCCCAAAGTGGTTTTTCTTCACAATTCACGTACATAGGCAAAAATTGCACTGGTTAATCGATTAACAATATGTGTTAATCGATTAACACCTTTAAAAATCCCAATCTGCCCTAATTTTGACTTGTTTAATCGATTAACCAAATGTGTTAACCGATTAACACCTTCAAAATTTTGAATTTGGCGCCTTTTGGAGGGAAATCTGTCCTTTTGTCCTTTTCCAACTATTTTGAGCTCTGTTAAGCTTCCGAATCTTGCTCTTGAATATTATCATTGTGAGAATGCTTGATATAGCTTGAAAGTTGTTTTCTGAGCTAAAAAATGCCCTGAAAAATAAAATAAAATCGGTCGCCCGACCGCTGGGCAAAATAAATGCCAAAGCCTTCGATGCTTACTGTTCAGGTTCATGCACTGAGATGAAAACTGAGCCACGGGAAAACCTTGATCCCCTGTCTCAAGCACGAATGTTATGCATATGCAGAAATGCGAAAATACAAAGAAACAAAATCCAAATGCAATAAGAGGTTGGTCAAATTTTGGGGTACAACATACGTGTCCTGTCCCTAGTGCCAGCACGACCATCTGGTGATATGCGTATGATACGTATATGGGGCTTGGCAATACGCGTATGGGGGTAGCCATACACGTATGGGGTGACTCTGATGGGTTTTTGGGAGGTAGAAGCCTCTGGTCTTATGCGTAAGGGAGCGCCATACGTGTATGACAACAGGCAGTACGCGTATGGACCATGATGGTACGCGTATGGACAGTCTGGGATGAATTTTCCCCAAGTTTTGTGATTTCTGTCTAGTGTTCGCTTGGAAAGCATTTCCGTTGATTCAGTAGGGTTAATATGACTAAAATGAACCTAGAAATAAGAGTAATGAATTAAATCTGGAAAAATGTGAAATGATATGGGTGTGCCCTTAAGGGGTGTGTTTGATGTTTGTGATCCATGATTATCGAATGCGGATAATCTTGTGCGATGGTGGTAATCTCCGAGAGGATTACAGTGAGCGGATGGCTCGTGTGGATCTTGGATGATCGTAAAATTATGCTTG